GCTGCAAGGCAAAAGAGATTGTAAAAAGTATAACTGCAGTATAGCAGTTAAAAAAAATGTCAAGGTGTAATCAATCAGACCGGTCTGTCTGAAAAACAACTCATTTTCTTTTTTTTTTTGCCTTTTTATTAGCATTTAATGAAGGCAGTGCACAGGGAAGCTGCCAAATTTCTCAGCAATTAGGCTGTTTGAAAGTCTAACTTTTTGCAGGGAGCTTTTGCTTATTCCTAAGTCTGCATATACCTCTTTGTATAGCCCAGTGCATTCATAGTAATCACGGGAAGGAAGTCCAAGTCTTGGTTGATCAACCTACAAAACCAAATTTAAAAATAATCAGGCCACAAATAGAACAACAATTTTTTGGCAGATAGAACTTTGCAAGCAGTGACATTTACTTTTTTCTAAGTAATTCAATTTTTTCCCAAAGTGCCTCTAAAGTGAGACTTTTGAAGTACAAGAATCTAAAGCTAAAGATTTGGAGAGAAAATGAGGAGGGAGGGAGAGGAGGAGAGGAGACAGGAAGACTAAAATGGGAACCGTGCCTGATTTCCAACAACTGTGGGTGGTTGACAAGAAAAAGAAAATATGATGGTAGCATCAAGACATAAAAGTTTCACTCTGCTATACTTCCTATAAGAGAAAATAAGTTTTCAATTACTAAGCATCTGTGGAAATAGAAAGAAGCCATTACTGCTTAAGAGTGACAAAGGAGAAATGGGGATTCAGTATACTTAGTAGCAAATGTCATAAGACACAATCAAAAGAAGAACTTCAGCGTCATAGAGGTATGACTACAGATTGATATTCCCACATTTACTTAGCAGTTAGAAGATATAGCATTATTTCAGTTTGCTCTTTTATGGGAGGAAAGAAAGCTGTATAGAACCAAAAACAAAGAAAAAGGAATATAGGGCACATAGCTTATTCTTTGGCTCCTACCAAGTATCCACAAAGGCTACTATTTTTTATTGGCTGCATATTCCTAACCATGCACACATTGTAATTATTAGTCTGTTACAATAAATCTGAACATCAATCTTAATGGAGATTCCATCATTGAGGATCACAGAATCAATGGGTAGGTTAATCAGGCAGATTCTATCGAAAATTAGAAAAGTTAATTACTTTTCCTAAGCATACACAATCAAGCAATATATGGCAGAATTATTTAAATTCAATTATCAAAGGAAATGAATCCTGACTGTATGTTTAGCAAAACATTTTTAATGGAAATAAAATGGAATTTACATGTGCATTACCATTCTGTTGCACCCTGGCTTGTGAGCCATATTGAAGACTCCACAGTAGGATGTTGTGTTATTTATATGAATCAACACAAATCTTTATTTAAATTTAAAATCCCTAGTTTCCCTAACCATGCCAGTGAGAACAAATGCATTTTTAAACATTTCCAAGAATGACAAACTTACATGAAGTACATGTTGTGAGGAGTTTTTATCATCAGTACCAACAAACATGTTAATGATGACTTTTCTCCCAAATTGAAAATTTAACTCTGCAATGGATTTCTCTGCACTCCACGTGGAGCCTAAAGTAGTAAAATCATATAGTCAATATTGGATAAAAATAACTCTAACCTCCCCTTTCCTATTTGTAAATTACAATAAATAAATAACTTGAATTCACCTACCGTCCCAGTTTTCTGCTGCTATAGGCCATTCTGAAATGTTGGTCATTAAGTTAATTAGTGGTTTCCCTTTTTTGCTGTTAATGGCAGCTTGTGAAAATAAACATGAATTCCATTAATTACAGGTACAGACCTCTTAAACCACTCAATTATCACAATAATGTATGATGATGATCCTGTATTTCCAAACAAATATTTTCTGCAGAATCATATCTCACAAGAAAAGGTGGACAAAAACAAATAGATTGAAGTAACTTGAGCCTTCAGTGCCTTCACAGAATATGATTTAATAGGTTCATAAGTGACACAAGTCACAACAATGTTACACATGTTATGATGTCATCACAGAAATAAAACAACTCACATAATATGATGTCACATCCCTTCCCTTCTATGGTCTATGGTTTATGACCTAAGCTATAAAATTATTTCTCATTTATGATGAATGGGAAGATAGTAATTTTGGTTTGTAGTTATGGCTTATAGAAGTACTGAACCCATCCTATGTGGCATTAGCAAACATTGTACAGTTGAGTAAAGTATTCAAAAAGAGCAATTCAATCAGTCAGTCAGACATAACTGCCAGTCTCACAATAGGGTCTCTGGGAGGCTTATAGAACAACGTCTGGGTTCCAATGGTATACCAAACCAAACCAATCCATCCGAACCTAAACTAAACCAAATCTTACAGTAGTGTACTGTAAATAGGACTTGTTAATTTAAGAATCAGTAATATCTACTGTGAATAACATTATTTCTCCAAGATTTTTTTTGCTAGCCATTTCCTTTACAGATGCCACAAATGGAAACAACTTATTTACATTCTATCATTTTTTTTCCTATGGCCTCCTACAAAGTAGATTTAAATTAGTTGACTGTAATATTCATCTCAAGAATTGAAGCAATTGATTAAGAAATACATACAGAATTTAATAAACTGATACTAATCTCATATACTTGAATTTAAATGTGCGAAGCATACTACGGTGCCTATAAACTAGTTTCAAGAATGCAACTAAAAAGTAATATTAGTAAGCTGCCCAGAGTTACCTTGAGATAAGATGGGTGACCAATAAACAAACAAACAAACAAATAAATAAAAGAAAGAACAAGGTTATATTCTTTACTCTTAAATGTGGTAATTTAGCAAGGAACTTACTTTCATTTATACAAGATCTATAGAGTGTTTTTGCTTTTGCAACAGCATCTATATCATTACTGTCTTTCTTCTCAAGAACATCTGAAAATTATAAAGATATATATTACCAAGTATGATACATAATGTAGGTTATGTTCTACAGGTTTTATGCAGAAGCACACATAATGATACCCACTTCATTCATTTTAACTTCATAAAAAATTTAATGAGATCAGAATTCAAAGGTTATAGGCCAAAGTCAAGAGTTTCTGGCAGAATGATGAACTAAATTTCCATGGTGAAAGCAGAGGCTTATTTGAAGAAAGAGAAAGCCACCACTAAAGTTCCCCTGTGTATTGCAGCAACTTTCTGTGGGCATAGCTGCCTTTTACTGTAAGGGGATAAATTAAAAAGGTGCTTTCCAAGCAGTTTGATCCTTCTTTCTTAGATGCACCAATGTAATTTCCCTTCCTATAGGCCCTATTAGAAGGAAAAGAAAAGAAGCAAAATCAAGAAAAAAAACACTTTCTATTGTCTGTTTTAACCTGGTCATTGCAAACCCAACAGAGTTTAGAAATTGGTACTTCTTCTGCCACAGATTCTCTTCTTTTTTGGAGGCTTGCTTTGTCCCTCTGTAAACACCCTAAGACTAATGTAATGCTATTTCCATTAATGCTTTTATGGGGTCTCTGTTCCCAAATTATCTGCCTGATTCTCATCAAATCTGACAACTTTTGATACTTCTAATATAGTCCTTATTTGTCTATATCTAAATATAAACTGTAAGATTGACCAGTTTGGACTAACTTGTTAAGCTAACTATTTTCTTTCTAATTTTTAGGACAACTGCCCATCCCTTTTGGATCATTGAGCCAAATGACGCAAGAGCCAGAATGCAATGCAGAATCTGTCCCACTAAACGAGACCAAGATCATCCAGATATGTTTACTTTTAACCCCTGTTGATGTGGTTGTTAGCTGGGGATGTTCTTTTTGGTTGTGGCTTTTTCAGCCCCACGTTGTTGGGATCTGCTATTGTGCATTATCTCCTCTGCCTTTTTTGTTTACTCTTGGTCCAAAAAACATATGACCTTATAAACTTGCATGTCACCTAGCAAATCTTTGAGATTGAGATAAACCAGAATATATATCTTGCTATTCTGTCACAAAATTGAAATGTATATAAAAAAAACCAAAAAATTAAATGATTCAAAAGTTGAAGTAACTTATTTGTACTACTGACCTTTCAAAACAACTTCTAGTTCATCTCTTAAAATATCAAAATTACTATAACGGGAACTTGTTTCTGGTATAATGTGCTTTTTTAACCATCCTCCACAAGCATACTGGTAAAAATTATTGCAAGGTTCTGCTGTTGTATCCATGTTCTCAATGAGTCGGGCAGCTGTCATAAAACATAAATAAAGACATATTGAGGGTAATGTATTTTTTTAAAAGTCTACATTTATCTTTATTGTTATAAAACAATAGCATTAATACAGATTTAATTTTGTAATGAGCAGTTGTAACCCTCAAGTGTTTGAATTAAGCCAAGCTGTATTAACTGAATGTCAATTACTTTTAAAGAAACATATATAGAATTCCACTGTACAACAGCACAGTTAGTTGGGTGACAGTATTATTGCAACTAATAGAACTTATCGAAATACAGATTTGTAGTCTGCCATAAATAACACTAAGTTAAATATTTTGGGTAGGTAGAAGATTCTGTTCCAAGAACATGAGTTGATTAAAACAAAACCCGCTTCATCTGAGGGAGAATGAAAATTAACGTCCATGTTTTTATCCATGTTTATCTCTCTCTCTATATATATACTGTATATATCTTTATTTGCCAGGTATTGCCCTATAAATGCTAGAGATATTAAAGCTGCTACCACCACAGCCCCTTCCTGAAGCCACACTACATTTCCTGATACCTGTTTGTATGAGATTGCAGTATAGGCCAAGAAGCACAAACCAACTCTGAACTGTCACATATAGCTGTCCATGAGACTTGGCTTTATTTTAGTTTGGGCATATTGTGAATCCACCGTTTGCAGCTTTTTCAACAAAGCACAGCTTAATATGTTATGTGAACTCAGCCTTTTATCTTATTCTGCCATTGTGTATTTATATGTTGTTTTAATTGCTTGGTTATTTTCTAATTTTTGGTTTTGCATAACAATATTGTTGTTTTATTTAATGTTACTTTATGTGATTTATTATCTTCCCTGGCTATTTCTTTGATTATGATCATATAATTCAATATAAAAATACTAGAGAAATACTTGATACCAGGATACTGACACTTTTGAATTGTAACCTGATGTTGCCTAATGAAAATTTTATTTAACTGTATCCTCCAGATTCCAATTGCAAGATGAAGCTCCCTTTTCTGAATGGCAATGTTCTTTAAAATTACAACTAAGGACTATATTCTTTCACTGAGGTAATGAATGCAATAAGATGTAAATTATATTGCAATTTTCTCTCTGAAAATGGGAAGATATTTTTTTAAAAAAATGCATCACAAGGACATGTAATGAGGCTTGCATGAATATCTGGATGAAATGTCTGGATATTGGACTAGCCATAAAAATGTATAATATTAGCTCTGTTTAAACATTATACTCAAATGATAATATACAAATCAGTACTAAAGCACATATTTCCTATAATATTAGAGGCCCTTATCCCAATATCTGTGCATGCTTCTCCCTCAGTCCTCATTCACTTTAGGTTGAGCAAGAAAACTTATAGGGAGTTTTCATTCTTGTTCAAGAGTCTTCATACTGCAGACAAACGTATATAGCATGTTTAATCAGAAATAAGACTATTTTTTCCTCCAAATAATTACTCATGAATCAGAGGAACAGAAGAAAGTGCTATTGAATCAAGCTAACATTCCCTTCATCTCTTTTAAGCATCTGCAACAGAGAACTTCCTCTTGCCTCAGAGAGTCTTAATTCTTTGACTGAATAAACCTAAAAATGCTTGTCATACTGAACTGCATAGAACAGCCCACAAAGGTTTCTTTGTGCTTGAAGCCCACCATAAACATCTTCATCAACCTGTTTTCCTTTAGGGGAAACAACAACTTAATAGACCAAAAACATCTTTCCCAGTATGGGAAGCTAAATTAACAAATCTGTTCTACATAACAGAAATTTATGCATAGTTACCTGGAAGGAAGAATTACTGGATTTAGTTTCACATAACACAGATGGGGGGGGCATATATTTAGGTTATAGAATAGGAATTGTTGAAATAAATAAAACAGAAAGCTGCTGAGTACAATCAATAACTGATCAGAGAAGGCAATGAAATTAAATAATCCTACTCTGAAGAATACATGTTTAAGAAAATAAATACAAATGAGAAAATATTTATCAGAAAGTCTTCCACTCCTAAATATATGGTCTCTGTCACTTTCTGACTGTTAACTATATATTCTTTCATATGTTAAGAAAGAGATATTTCTATTTATTGTGGGGATCCTGCACAATTCATAACATCATCTGTCTTCAGAAAGATTAGAATTCTAATGTATGAAGGGAATTTCTATGACTGGAGAAAGTCTCACATTGCCTAAATTTGCCATTTCAATATATAGGTTTGACAAAGCAGAGAAGTTAGCAGATCATTCCTGGATACATGAGAGATGTAATTCTGAAGACTGATGATGTTATGAAAAAGCAAATATGGCAGTGACATAAAACATATTATTCTCTGCCTGCTCCCCAAACTCTTTGCTTGCCTGTGAATCTTGACCATAGATGCAATTTTAATACAGGCCCCCAACTGGGTTTCCCATGGATCAAGAGGAGGGAAGAAGATTACTATAGAGACTGGGATAGGTTTAAAGACATAGTGCCTACTTAATATACTAAATATTAAGGCTGGTATGCTTTGGTGCAAAAATCCCAGCAACTCTTAATTTCTTGTTTTTATTTAGTAGTCATTTGTATGTTTGCACCTAAATCTACCAATCTAATTACCACCCACAGAGTTAAAAAGAAAAAATAAATCATAGACTAAACTATGAAGACTTTGTGACTTAATCTACTACATCAAGCAGTGTAGCTTGTTTTGGTGGTTTTTTTTGTTTTTTTGTTTTTTTTTGGTTTAGACCTATTGCTGGTTTCCATAAAACCTATTGCTGGTTTCCATAAACATTAACTTAAATTAAAATTAATAAGCACGTTTCACTGAAAACAATAATTAGAGTAATAATATGTTGTATATGGTGTGATGTAGCAAATGTGTTGTCTTGAATTTAACTACTACAGTCCCTCCATAATGCAATGACAAGATTGGAGACAGCCTTATCTGTCTATCTGTTCCCTCTTACTCACTGATTTCCCAATAGTGTATATTACAACATGGAAGTCACTGCTATACAACCTATCCAAGTTGAAGAAGTGTGGCAACCCACTTCAAACTTCAGAGTTTAGCCAGTGTCAGCATATGGCAAACTAGATTTTCAGTTCTAATGGACTTACATAAGGCAAGGCAGTCAGCTGGCTAAAAACATAATTATTAAATTATAATACTTGGGGAGATTCAAACTTCACCATCCTCATGACTAACTCTCATTGCTGTGATTTGATTAACTGAGTAATGGTAAAATCTGATTTCAATTCCTTTTTCCATAATACCACAACAGATGTGTTAGTGATAGATTTACTGTCTCTTCTAAATTTATTTGTAAACTTTTTTTATATCTAAATACCATTGAGGTTGTCTAAGTTCCAAAATAGAGGTTCACAATTTAAAATTTAAATATCACACGACCCTATGCAAATTTCCCAAAGTCAAGATCAAGTTGTAACTTTTAACATGACAGAATGAAATAATTAGATGAATTAAGAGGATAATTTTATTAATTTTATTTAATTTTAATTAAATGTAAATCAAATTGAATCAAATATAGTTATTGTCTTGTCCCTGCCCACCTACTTTTGGAGAATAGTTCGTCCATCCCCCCCCCCAATTTTAGTGTTGGAGAAGGTGCCTATGAAGGACAGCCAAGAAAATAAACAAATGAATAAATCAATCTAGAGTTCTTATTCAAGGCAAAAATGACCAGGTTCAAATTATCCTACTTGAAATACGTTATGTGAACACCTTGCTTTTTGGAAAAAGCTCTGTTGCTGAAAAAAGTAGAAGGGAAGGAAATCCGAAGCAAGGTGGATGGACTCGGTTACACTAGCAATGAATGCATTAATAGAAGACCTGAGGTTCTGAACAGATTGTTGTGTAGTAAATCTATCTATGTGGTCATGAAGAATCAACATTGACTTGATAGCAAATCATTCCCCTTTCTGCAAGATGACCTTTGATCCTGACATTGCACATTTGTCCTTAAAATTCACAAATCTTTAAGAGATCCATCTGTTTCCTTTGTTTCATTCTGCAAACTTAGAGCACTGTTCAAGGATTCTGGAATCAAATTGCTTATGGATATGCTCCTAAACTGCTGTTAGGAGAAAACAGACTTAGCACAATTCTCCATTCTAGCCTATGATGATTCTGTCTTGTGCTGTTCCCCACTACTTCTTGGGCCAAGTTCAGGAATTCCAGTCTGGACTGAAATGGGTTACTAACAAGTCTGAGCCATTGCTGTCTGGACTATGGTCATTGCAAAATCTGATTGCTCATCCCCTGTTTCTTGTCCTTATTGTCCATGCAGGGAAGGCAAGCCTTGCTGGATGTCCATTAAAAGATGTAAGATTTGAATGAAACATGATTTTCTAGGGGTGAGAAAAGTTTCACTGACTTAACTTGCCATCACTGGATCAACTGCAAGTCTATAAAATCATATGGAGACAATCTACATAGCACAATGACAAGCCCCTGAGGGGTGGCAAGAGGACAAACACTGCAGTCAGTTGGAGCTGAGGCTACCAGAAGATCAGAACAGAGAACTGCTGAAGAACATCTGCTCTGAAGGGTTTAAGATAGCTCTGATGAGAAAAGAGCATTTAAAAAAAAAAAATCAAAACCAGCAAAGACTGCGTGGTTTTACTTTCAATAGGCTATGAGTAAGGGGGGATGACATCTGTTCCAGCGAAAGATGGGAGGACACAATTGACCAAGCAGAAAGTGCAGATACTGTATATCATTAACCAGAAATGCACTCACTCACAGCTGTGGTTTGATAGTTTTAATGACCATATTTGCAAACTAAGCTATTTTTAAAATCAATTCAAATTCTCCGAAATACAAAAGAGCAGGGCTTTTTTTTGTCATAGAACGCCCAGAACGGAGTTCCGGCACCTTTTTTGGATGAAACCTTGTAGGGTAGGCAAGGCAGGTTGTATGACATGTGTGAGTTCCAGCACATTTTTTTTTTTTTACAAAAAAAGCACTGCAAAAGAGGATCATAAACACCTGATATTATTGTCACAGTCAGTTATCAAAATTCATTTTTGAGCATAGCATTTATTTTTTGGAAACATTTAATTTACCTAATTTATGTAAAAAACTTCAATTACATGAATTCCCAGAGAATGGAATCTGACACAAATCTGTTATATCAAGAGTGGTTAAAGAGTCATGCTAGAATCCAGAAGACTGTGAGCTCTAGATTTGCCTTAGGCATGAGAATTGACTGGGCGACGTTGCCCAGTCTCTCTTTCTCAACAATCTCAGAATTGTTGTTGGAGGGAAAACAGGAGGAGGAAGGAGTATTAGGTATGTCTGCCATCTTGAGTTATTTATAAAAATAATAAAGGTGAGGTAAAAATAAAATAAATATATAAACATGTTTAAACCACTGCAAATAGTTAATCCATTTAAAACATCCAGTAAATGATGGTTGTGCAAGGAAAGTATGTTATTCAGCACTTTTTTCAATATAAGAAAGTCCAGTTTCCTTGTGCCTCAGAAAAATGATTCAGCAACTTAAAAGTATTTTGATTAAGTAAGCTTAGGATTCTGCTCTAGGTTAATTGGTCTTGGGCAATAAAACATTTTATTAATTAGAAACTTTGAAAAGCAAATATTAATTTAATTATTAAACATTGATCTTGATAAGTGAACACTTTTTAATAAATAGCATGCAAGACACCACAGGAGTCAATTGTGCTATTCAGATAATATTTGACCTTCATGTTATCTCTGTTCCTACAAATCAGAATTCTGTGCAATCCACAACACTATAAAATGTGCAGTGAAAGTTTAAAGGAAAAATCATTATCACACACTTGACTGCATTCACAGTGCTTATCCCTGTTGCTTAATTAACTCACATTCTGGGTTGCATAATACAATGAATCTTAAACTAACCAACTTAGCTGGTTCGTATTCTGTGTCATAATCCCCCCCTCCCACAATTAACACCAACAAAGTTTCAAACATTGTCATCTAGACAACTAAGTCTTTAACTGTCCTGGTTCAATGCAGTACATGAACTCAGCCATTAGGATAAAAAAAAACCCACTAGTTTCTCTTGTTAATTTCTGTCTCTTACCAAGAATTCTGACAATATATTTTTAAATATTTCAAAAGTTAATGTGCTGTGTCCTGGTGAATTCCCATCTCAACTCCCACCCCATCTCCTTGCCATGCCTGTCAGGGCAGAAAAGGTAACATAGAAAAGAAACAGTTTAAAGGTATGCCTGCAAATTTAAAACTGCTCATTATGTTGGACAGGTGAGAGGACAAAATACTTCATTTGGGTCAGCTATACAAAGGAAATCTTTGATCTTTGTGTTCATTTGCTTTTTAGCACTGGTGATTATAGTCTTCATCTGCTGATGATTTGCCACTATTTTCTTTCTCCTTCAGAACTTATCCCTGACAATCATATGGCATATGACATCTTGGCAAGATGTAATTGATTATACCAGGGGCATCTTGTTTTTTTTTCAGCCCTCCCCCCTCCCATGGATGCTTCTGAATCAGCCTTGTATATACCACTGAGAATGCACAAAACTAAAAGTATTGCTTTCAATCTAAATGGAAGTGGGAAGAAAAAGTCTTAGTTGTCAATACAACTAACAACATGTTTCTTATCACACTGCAGTAGGATCATCAACTGGTTTTGCTCATGCTTTTGAAGCGCAGCAAGAAAGTGACCCTAGCCTAATTAACTTTGGACTGGGAACACATTTTTACTATGCCTTTATAAAAGCTAAATATGTCTCTTTTGTAGGATCTCTGACAAACTGCTAAAAATATAGATATTGTTCTGAGCCTTTCAGAGCTTTAATGAACACTGCCCCCTTTCAATTTCGCCATCTTACCAACTTGTTTTCAAAATTATTTACATGACTATACATGATTAGTATTAATATAATGATCAGCACAGTTACTGTACTTTAAGAGTTATTTTAATAAGCTAATCATATAAGCAGAGCAAAACTACAAGCCTTCTTCCCCTTCCCTATGAAATGAACTGTAATAATTTTCAGCCTAGAAAAGGAAAACCTTGACATCTCGAGATTCAGAGATTGATTCAATCAGCATGATTGAGTCTATGGCTATGCAATTAAGGCAGCATCTCACATCACATATTCTCATTAACAAACAAACCACCACATTTTGAATCACTAGGCCCACTTCCCTTAACCTTAGGCATTTTATAGAGATATTTCATTGGATGACCAAGACTGTTTGAGGGAAATTTATTAATATCTCATCACAAGGCTCTGTATTTGCAGAGGTCCGTTAATTTTAGGAGTGCTCTAATACAAAGCCTGATGTACAGCTATGGGTGATTCCATTATTGTGTTTGCTTTTAATTAAAGGAATAGAACTTCACAATTCTGGATTTGTGATAAATATATCTTTCTTGAGTTCGCTTACCTGCAGTTACTTTCTTCAGTTTCCACTGTGGTATTGTATTGTTACATCTCTGAATTTCAAAAGCAGATTGTCATACAGAGTGGAAGTGTAAAACAGAGGTACAAAAAACTGGTTCATGTCTCTGGGATACATTATATTCAGAATCCTTATTAATGTAGTAAAAGAAATGGAGACATTCTATCTAACTTACCTGATTTTATACAGTCTGAAGTTTTACAAATACCATCTGGGGGGGGAAAAAGATGGATTAGGATGGTAATTCTTTTATCAAAGCATATTAACGTCATTGTGCTTAAAATTTTGAGACTCATCCCTAATAGATGTAAACTAAATGTGTCTATTTATATAATGCAGACATCTGCTTCTTCAAGACATTTGGGCTTGTCCTAGTAGTAGGTCACTATTCTGACACAAAGAATTAAAATAGAAGCTTCATCAATATAAAATAACTATACCAAAATCAGGACAGGAGAAAGTGAATGCAAAGCTATTGTTTGAGAGGGAAAAGACTTGTTTCTTCATCATATCTGCACCTGACTTGAGAAAGGAAACATGCTAGACCAAAAATTAAAACTCTGTATGGAAGAAGGATTGGAATTGGTTTGAGGACAAAACAATTATTGAGAGTTGACAATCCTTTTGATTGTCCATTGTTAGATTTGGGGTCAGAAAAAAGTATGGAAAATTTTTCCACTTCAAGACTTTCAATGAGAAGTGGTACATAGATATTTTAAATCTATGGCATTTGTCCCGAGGAAGCAATAGTTTTTCAACAATTTCAGGATGTGGCGCAGCAGTTAGAGTGCAGTACTGCAGGCCACTTTAGCTGACTGTGTTCAGCAGGTCAGCGGTTCAAATCTCACCGGCTCAAGGTTGACTCAGCCTTCCATCCTTCCGGGGTAGGTAAAATGAGGACCCAGATTGTTGGGGGCAATGTAAATATATATATATATACATTGCTTACTGGTGTACACCGCTTAGAGAGTGCTTGCACTTAAAGCAGTATGTAAGTCTCATAAATAAATAAATAAATAAATAATGATGACAGCACTGCTATTGGAAAAGACAAGTGAGAGGCTTTCTTTCATTATGATCTTCCCTTCTCACTGCTTCCTACTGAGAGCCATTATGATTGGAAATTTTAACATTTGGATTGAAGTCCCCCGTGCAGCAAGACAGATTACTACAAATATGGATAATTATATCTCTCTGAGACAAAAAGATACCCAGAATAGGCATGTTTGGAGCGTGGGTGGAAGTGTGTGGCTAACCCTATATTTACTGATTTTTTAGGACTGTTTGGGGAACTAAAATCCCATCTATCTACAGAAAGAGCTTTGAGATACTCAGGGTTCAGCTGCCAGATTTGGGCTGAAAATAATCCAGTTGACCACTTGGTAGGAGCTTGCTGGTGTCTTTCTGACCTCTAATGGTCATCTGCATTTTTTCAGTCCACATAGACAAGCTTAATCTAAGGACAAGTAAGTGATGAGATATGACAAGAAATTGGAACTGCTGATATTTGTTTCCATGTGTGTGTTTTCAGATGACAAGGAAGAGATATTTCATCTCTGAGGTATGGTAGCACAAACAATTTATATGAAAAGGGAACTGAAAATGTCTTAGGTGAACATCCTTTCCGTAATGTAACTATTAGAAAAAAAATAAAACTCAAACTCTTTTCTGCCACCCAATCACTTTAATGTAATGCATATTCTTAAACTTCACCAAATTATGAAAAAGACTAGATTATTTGGACGTAAGGATAATCTAATTATTGCTAGAAGAAAAAATTAAAATGCTAAAATAGATATGATATATGTCTTCTAAACAAATTTTAAAGCTGCAGAAAGGAAATATTTTTGTCATAGTGAAAAGGAAATGACTAACAGAATTTGAATTAAGTGTGTTAAGCATGTTATTTTTTTTTTAATGGCTGGGGGATTTTTTTCCTGAAGAAATAATGTAGTATTGAATTTGAATATAAAATAATTGCAGCAAATACCCCTTATTAGTCAGTGGTAAAATAACCTATCACATCTTCTGTTACAAAAAGACTAGGAAGTAGCCCCAGAAATATAAATAATTCAGGGTTATTATCTCCACCACCCAGAGGGAAGGGACAAAGCCAATGGAAAACAATAGGCACTCCTTGGGAGATAAATGTTAGGCAAGAAATGAATAAGGAGACAAAGAAAGAGAACAAGTTCGGAAAGAGATCTGTCTAGAGGTCAGATACTTTCGCTAGGTGCCTAAAACGCATTTTTAGTATTTACCTTCATGTTGCTACTCTGCTCAACCTATCTTGTTAGTAAATAAAACTCAAATATTAAAAAATGTAAATTCACCTTTAATTAGCATTTTCCAGTGGCAAGCAATATAGATAAGTGGAACACTCCTCTACATTTTTAACACTCAAAGAAGGCAGGGGAGGAGAATATTAATGTTATGTTGGCAAATATTCTTTAATATTTGCATTATTTATTATCCATCCTTTTTTCTGCAGAGTTCATGGCTCTTGGGGGGGAGTGATCTTCATTTTACAGTATTGCTACAACAGCAGTCTTGTGTCTTTGGTTTGAATGACTAGCCCAAACATGGGAATTAGAGTGTGACATATTCACTATATAAGTATATTCACTATATTACATTGACTCTCTACTTAATGATGGAATACTAGTTAGTTGTCTTTGAGATGCCCAACTCAAATAAAGATCTATAAATCAGAAAGTTTTATTATTAAAAATAAAAACATAGATTTTAAGATTTAAATATTAAAAAGAGACACTTATTTTATATACTGTAATTGTTAGATTCGTATTTTGTTTTTTCTCCAAGAATTTAAACATGCTTATAGAAGATTTTTCTTCATTTATTCACACAACAGAAACCTTTTGATGTAGGTTGGGCTAAGAAAGAATGATCATTCCAAAGTCACTCAGTAAGTTTCTATATTTATGGTTGGACTTGATCTTGGGTGTTCTTGGTTCTAGTCCTACCCTTTAGCCATTAACCATACTACATCACAACAGAATATTGAACTATTTTCTAGTTTAGTAGCTAAAATTTCTACAGCTCAATCATTCTAATCAAATTGTTCTGCCTGGGGTATTGTAATTAAAGCTGTTTCTAGAAAATTATATTCATCGACATTTTCTCTCTTTTCTTATAATATAATATTTTAAATTTTTGCTACTGACATTTTAAGTTTAGGGAGGGGCTCCTACTTACCATCATAGGTTGCATACAGAATGATCATGGTGATGGCCACTATGGCAAGAAGCAGCACTACAGCAGCAAGTCCAATTTCCAGTGGACTCCAGTGCAGTTTTCTCTTTGGTTTTGGGGAATTCATTTCAGTTATATCCATCTGACTTTCTGACTTAGCCATAACCTAGAGTCTGGTAAGAAAAAGAAGACAAAACCCAGTGACTGAAAGGGTAGAAGAATGGAAATCTTTAGTTCCTCTTAGTCACTTTTTTCCTAATGAGGAAGAGAAAATACTGTGTGTTATTTAAAAAAAGAACTAGTCAACATAATATGTTGAGGTATTTTTGCTACTTACAACCCACAGGATAATGGTGCTCTTACACACACAGAGAGTAAGGCTAAAAAGGGATTAAAAACAAATGTCAGTGTGCTTTTATTGCCCACATACCTGTTTTATTGTAGTCTGGTGGTACAAGAGATCATAAGTAAGTGAAATGCAGCTCTGTTTGAATAAAAATTAACTTAACCTTTCAATCTTTGATCCTTTGCCAATGGACAAAAGTGTTTTATTTTGCCTCTCAGCAATTTTTAGATCCTTTTAGCAATTAATATCAGAGGTTTTAATTTACTTTTTATATGTAATCTTTATTATAGAGTTTTTAAAAGGTAAATAAAAGTAATACAAACTAATGCAAAGTAATAAAAGAAAAGAAAAAAAATCAAAGAGAAAGCTAAAAGTGTAAAAAAGAAAGAAAAATAAAAGGAAAATAGAAAAGAAAGAACAAAGATACAAAGAAGTACATATTGATCTTCTTTACAGCAGTTATAAGTACAATTATAAATTTATAAATTTACCTTTTACTCTATGGTCACTACATATTCTAATAATCAAAACCAACAATCACAAATTCATTTTTTTCTGTTTCATGTGAAAAATCTATAAGAGATTTCCAGTCAGAAATAAATGTAGATACTGTTTTTTCTCTAATCAAATAAATTTTAGCCATAATCTTTACCAACCTTTCCTACAGTATATTGTACCTAGTCCTGAATCTTTACATATACAATGATCTTCCTGAACTTTTCATGTATTAAAAAAAAGTTCCATGACTTTTTTCCACCTGTTTATCCATCAGTTCCCAAAAAACCTTCTGGTTTCAATTGTATATTAATTTTTAAAAATCTGTGAATCAGTATATATTTGAATCCAGAATCTTCTAGCTTTTTTACACACCAAACTTGATAAGATGCCCCTTCTTGTTTTCAACATAAATTTGAAGTATACATTCTAGACAATTTCTCTGGTAACATATAGCAATGGTACATTACTGAATAAAAATACTCTTTAAGATTATGGCATAGTGTAAATTTCAGTCCTTTCAGCTACATTTTTCTCATTGTTCAATTTTATATATTATTTTAAAGTGGAATAAATTTTAGCCCACTTTATCACTTAATCTTTCATTTGTTTTTTTCTATTTCAAATTTCAATAAGTTTATACATTTTAGCATTTACATATTTATCACCACAATTCTGTTTCTGACTCAGCCTTACAATGTTCAACACTATGAATTCTTTTGTCCACTTTATTTATTTATAAAATTTATAGGCCACCCATCTTACCTCAAGGTAACTCTGGGGAGCTTTAAATCTTGAATCTTTCTGACTGTAAACAAGGAAACTATTGATAACTATATCTCTCTGCCTCTGATTCTTATCTTTAATTTATTTTATATTTCGGTTGACAACAATTTAGTATTTCAAAAAGTTCTTAATTTATTACTCTACTAGTATCCAACCATCTTAGTAGGTTAGGGTTAGAGTTAAGGCAAATGGGAAGCCTGCTCCGGACTTGAGAGTTAACCAGGAAGAGGTTTGGTTAATATTTGGATGGGAGACCTCAAAGAAATATCGAAGGTTAAGTTGGAAGTAAAACAAATGAACAAAAAATCCTGAAAGAATGCAGTGGTATCCTATTTCCATGTTGCTGCCAAGAAAATATCAAAATAACTTGCAGGAGATGAGTTCAATTTGAAGGAGACTTTATTTTAACTTCCAAGAAAAAAAAAGAAACTCCCTTGAGTATAAGATATAGATTTGAAGCTGTAAAGCTCAGTGAAGATGTTGATTTTATTTGTAGCAGCTGAGAACAAGAAGAATCTGTGCTAAAAAAGGAGATGGCAAATTTGACAGCCAACCTTGTAATGCCTTTATATCAATCTATGGCTTAGCCCTAAGTGAAATTCTGATTATTTTTTTGGATATCCTATTTGGGAAAAAAACATAGCAGATCTGGACAAAGCACAGAAGAGTGCAAGCAAAATTATTGAGGCCCCAAGCATCATCCTTGCAAATAAAGGCTAGAATTTTTGAAACTCTTTATTTTGGAACAAAAGTGAGATGTTATCAAAATATATAGAACTATATACAACATAGTGTATAGAAATATATATGTGGCAGAGAAAATAATAGGGAGAAGGACTAAAAGTCATCTAATGAAATTAACTAAAATAAGATTTAGAATAGAGAACAGAAAGCATTTTTTTTTTTTTACAAATGCAGAATTAACCCGTGGAATTCATTACCAGATGATATCTTGGTGATCATCAACTTGGATGGCATTAAAAGAGGACTGGATAAATTCATAAAGGATAAGTCTGCTAAGGCTATCTTGAAGAATTAAAGTGTTCACCAGATTGGAGAAACAGCCTTCTAAATTTCATTTGCAGGGTTTTAGCCATAGGAAAGGGATATTTCTTCACTTTCTCCTTGCAAGTTATCCAGAAGCATTTGTTGAGTTCTCTGGCCTAATATGAGCCTTGGTGTCACCCATCAGAGCTATTCATGTTTTTTATGACACCTCCCCCTAAAACCAAATATAGTCAAAGTAAATCAAGACCTGTGTTGAAAATGGCTAAGGAACGATAGTACTAGAATATAGATGACATCACAAGGTGACACATCACAATAATTTGGGTGACATGCCAGGATTCAACAACACCCAGTAACATCTATTCTCAAAAGCACACCCCATTCTCGTCCAATATGGAGATACTGAGGCAACACGAGTATGGGCTCTGCTTTCATATGAGCCTCCGGAGCCTCCAAAAATCATGCAAAAATGTAAGGTGACTATTGTGTCCTGGGCCTGATGAGGAAACTCTGCAGGCCCAGAATTGTTGCAAATGGGCCCAGGCATTCTAAAAGCTGCCCGGGACCAGACAGAGCGGTGCCAGCCTTGTGTGCATGCGCAAGGCACGAAGAAAGAAGAATTCTTATTGGTTCATTCTTTCTGGGATTCAAGCCCTATAAAAGGTCTGCGTGCCTTTTGCTGCTTTGCTTGGAGTTGGAGTAGGAAAATAAAGCATTGTTGTTTGTCATCATGTGTCTTCATCATTCGTCCACGAACGGAGAACACAACAGTGACCAATCGTCCTCCTTTAGGGAGGACAGTCCTCCTTTTGTAAGTTCTGTCCTCTCTCGAAAAGTGTCCTCCTACATGTCCTCCTTTTTGATATTTGAAGACTAATCTGTAAATCTCCGTATTCGATCAATGCCGAGCCGATCTGTTGCATGTGATGTGACATATTTATATTTGACATGAAAATTCATCAAGGCTCAGTACAGTGCAGCGAGACACAATTAGGAAACGCATGCACTCCGCACAGGAGAATTGTTTTGAGTGCGTCATGCACAAGAGTGCACCGCGCGCAAGTGGCTTTGTTTACTTCTCACCGAAACACGACATGGCACACACGCATGCATTAGACTCACTTCTTTCTCAGTGAATATTCAATCATACACAGGTGAGCACAATAATTCACATTTTATTAATTCATTATCTATTTAATAATTTCCAAATGTGTATAATTTTATTTACAAGTTTATTCGCTTATGTTATTGTTTCAGTTTTAATAATTAGTTTTATTTATTCATATTTTTTTCTTCAATTTATGTGTGTCCTCCTTCTCATTGTAAAAAAGTTGGTCACCTTAAAAAATGGAGCATGTTTTTGTGCAATTTTTAGAAGCTGCAGAGGCCTCGGAAAACCATTATCTCCAAAGCTGCTTGAAGAACAAAGGCCTCATGCAGCTTGGAGCAACCTCAAGGGTCTGTCAACAGAAAGAGGACCTGAAGGTAAGCAGTTTGTGGCAGATCCTGGGGAGCGCTGGACCATGGGGGCAACCACACTGATCCTGGTCCTCAAATTTTATGTATCTTGGGGAACAATGCAGGATAACCTTTTTGATTGGCAGCAGTGGCATTAGGACTGAAGATAAGGCCTGGGCCTCTACTTAAGGCCCAGCATTGGCCCCGCTGCAAAATGTTGCTATTTAGGGTGGTTGATGCGGCAGGGGGAAGGGGGAGATAGACAATTATTTATCCTTTGTTTGGGAGGAAGGGACATACCAGCAGAGTGAAATTAGGCATTTTCTCACATTTTGACATGCTGAGCCCAAAAGGTTTGCCATCACTGACCTAGACGATCTATTCTATGACTCAGAATAAGACTGATGGTATGTTGTCAGTTTTTCCACCTTATGGCTCCTTAAAATTTGTATTCTTTCTTTTCCATAATGTTTTCTTGAAATTTGGAATAAAAGTAACCAAGATAGCATGAAACCTATCAGAGATGAGTGGCATAGCACTTAAAGTTTCATACTGCAATCTTGATTGAACTATACTGGGAGACTCTGAGATTACCTATCCCACTATCAAAATTTCCTAGCATTCTTGTTAGTTGACCAGATCTTGTGTGGTACATACAAATTGGGCACTGCTCTCTCAAAAGCAAGGACTAAAAGTAATGGTGAAAATTACAGAAAAACAGATTGCAGCTACTGATTATGGAAAATTGATGGTAATCTTCAAGAAATTTCTGATTGCAGTATTTCCTAATTTCACATCTCTTCTTAAGGATTTGAGCTGCCACGGGCTAGCCTGGAAAGAAATCACAAGGCCATGTAGACTGTAGAGCTTTGCCAGCAGATCTCCAAATGCAAAAATGGTGCAATCTATATATGAATTTATAGTTCATGCTATTATGCTTTGGAGCTTTATTTGCATACCACCAAATGCAAAAACATGTGCACTGAGCCTCTGCAAAACATGTGCCCTGAGCCTCCATGTCTCAAGCCAAGAGTCAGAGAAGTGTTTCTTCATTGCTGTTATGCTCGGACAAGCTGTACT